TCATTAAATTTTATCATATGATTAATGGTATTACCTCAGAAGCTTTTGTTGGATCAGTTTGAGTACAATCAATTCTGTCTATACTTGACCGCATTCAACCTTCCTCTCAAGTTTTTGAAGATTCAACATATTACCCAAGCGAGCCTAAACCGTTTGAATTTAGTAGCAATATTAGAGAGGCATGTATGTAGGAATTGTTTTTTTATAATAAATTGCAGTTGTTCAGATTGAGGATTGTAGAATAAATTAAACATTTGAAATGATTCTTTAATTCAGTGTGCTATATTTTTTGATTGTCATAACTGTATATTATTGAATAATGCATAAAATCATAGTTTAGGTGAATACTTTGTGATCTATCGACTTTGTGTACGGACTTTAGATATGGAACTCATTTCCAAATATGATTTTTCGTGTACATTTTATTCCATGTGGAGAATTTTTCATTAATTGAAATATTATCGGGTTCTATACACTTCCATAATTGAATTGATAATTATAGGCTTCATAAATCTCACGATTTGGCAATGTTGATTATTTTTATTGTTTCTATTTGACAATCGAAAAAGAAGCGGGAGTAAGCCCGTAACGTCACCAGCCTACCACATTCGATATTTAATAATTAATTACGAGAAAATTACGGTACTTGGAGAGCTGAAACAAAGTGAAATGTTTTTCAATTTGAAATTTCTACACCTGTAGGTACACCTGCAAGGGTGGTATACATGTATAATATACCTGAATAAATAGGGTTAGCTTCGCAAACTTTTCAGTTTAATCTTTCTCTTGAATGATCATGATCATTTGGTGATCGAAACATATGCCGAGGTGTTAAAAATAACGATTTGGTGTTGGGAAAAAAAAGAAAAAAAACTATCTTAGTTCTTTTTTTGATAGGTGAAGTTATTGAATACGAAAAGTGATTGGTGAATGAACATTTTCCTCTGTGAGAAATGCTACATTTGTATGAAGTTTCACAATTTGATTTCTATATTTTTCGGATTGTGGAAGGTGAAAAGACTCAAAAAAGGTTGATAAAAACCGAAACTTTTTCACGAGACTATTGTATTATTTTTCATTTTGGAGCTGACCAGTTGTGAATATCATGCTTTTTTCAATTATAAAAGATGTGTCATGATTCGAATAAAAAAATTTAATGAAACTCATTATTGAAAGCATATTCTTTCATGAAGAATGAACGAATAACATTACTTGCTAGGATTCTGCCAGTGTGAGTAGTTGAAAAACTTTTATTAAAACTATCTGGTGCACTGCAACGTAAAAAAGTTTCATTTCGATTGCTATGAACATGAACGATAAAAGTATATATACGTACCACTTCTGTAATCTCATTCCCGAAATAGCATATCATCAGTAGCTGGGTTAATACAGAAAGCATATATTGGGCCATTGCAAAAAAATCGGGATCTGATTGAGTTATGAGCGATGCGACGAATAGACATGATGCCATTACGAGTAGTGAGTCCAGCATTTGTAATAAAGTTACGTACTTGAATATATTTTCGGTTTCGGCACAAACTCTGAAATGTAAGTTGATTTTACTGATTTGCGAATTGAAGTTGTGAATATGGATGAACATATTGATAATACTTGTGTTTGGAACCTTTGGTGTAGTGATAAACTTTACTGGAGTTTTATCCCAACAGTTTAATCTTCCTCTTGAAGATGATCACTTGGTGATCGAAATACGTGTCGAGGTGTTGAAATAACGGTATGGTGTTGAGATAAAACTCCAGTAATATGTATTGATGATATATTAAAGTTGGGAAATAAATATTTTGGCTTTCTACTTTTCCATCTTTATACAAAAAATAATTTGGGAATTTTCCAAAATATAATTCAGTGTTCATATAAAAGTATTCGTTTCGAAAGTTTTTCAATGTTTTCTTTTCTTTCAGTTTGTGTCTGAAAGTTACTTCTTTGTTTGATGTACACATCTTTATATAGAAATAATTTTTTTAAGGTAATTGCTTCCTCTCTTCATTTGGAAGATTCACACTTTGTTTTGTATGAAGATAGAGAAATAGAAAGCCAAAACTTTTCTTTCGAAAAAATATTCTCCTCTAAAAATATACATGTTCAATTGAAGTTTTGTTAATATCTCAAACGTCTGAGAGGTTTTTGAGAAAATATGTACAAAGATATGTATGTGAAGAAATGAAACCTATATATACATGGTACGCGTAGAATCCGTGGTGTTTGTTTTAGCAACTCACAAATGAAGTTATCTGTCTGTTTGCCTGTTCAAAATCTGTTTTTCTGTTGACCAGCTGTCGCACCCCTACGAACGACAACCCTCAGAAGTCGAAACTTGTGCGCGCTAAAGATTAACGAGGTCTTATCTTTTAATGTGTGATTCCTAAAATGAGCGTCTCGAAACATAGATATCTCAGATTCTCAACGAGGTACTTCCAGTTGCCTATTTTTCTGATCTAATCAGTTTTGTTATCATCCACAATCTATTTTTTCCATTGTAACATATAAACTTACGCTTTATTGTAGATATCAAAATGACTTATTTTTCATAGCCAGTTATGAAATGTTTTACTTTTTGCAACTCATCACGGACGTTCATGATAACAAATGAATTTGTGGAAAAAAAGTTTATCGAAATACATTGGTCGTAATTGCAAAACTATATCAAAACGCAACATAACTAGATTTCAAATGGAAATATATTGAATATGTCGAACAAAATTTCAATCGAGGAAACTTGGTGTTATTCGTCTGATTTTGTCATTAGCGTCTCGAAAAATTTCCTGAGTTTATATTGTTTGTCAACAGCTGTTTTAACACACTGTTTCATCTTCTGAATGAAATGTAAACTATCCTAGGTCCCCCCATGCCACCTCCCGGGTTGAGTGCCCTGAGTTGAAATCTTCCCCACATTGTTACTGTGTACAAAACATTATATCTCGTCCATCCACACCCGCTCCTCCGGAGCGGTTCTCAACTTACTGATGGGCACTTCAGCAAGATTGACATCTGACTTCTTTCAGTCGAAAGTCAGCCTTTAGGTGCTTTTACTTTCTAATCTGATGTTTTGTTTTATCTTGGCTTTCCTAACTGAATTTTTGCATGGGGTCCGCAAAAGATAACCGAAAACATTTTTTCAAAAAGAGATCGCGGTCGAGTGTTTCTCGTTGAACCTGAAAAGGAACTCTTTGTTATCTGTTAAAAAAAATTATACTTACCGGAGCCGCCTGACAGCGACTCTCGGAGGTGGACGTTGGTTCTGTTTGGTTGGCCTCTCTCATAGCGCTGGATTGTTGTGCGCTCAGATTCTGTCAAACGCGTCTTCTGCATGTTAAAAAAAAATTGTTTTTCCGTTAACCAGCTGTGGCACCCCTTCGAACGACAACGCTCAGAATTCGAGACTTGTGCGATCTAAGGATTAACAAGTACTCACCTTTTAACGTGTGATTCCTAACACGGGTCTCATATATGCGTCTATGAAGTATATGTTCAGGTCTAGATTCCGCAATATGTACCTATTCGATACATATGTATCTTGGAGCGTTTACAGAGGCCTTTACGCATGCGTTCATAAACGACTGGATCTGTCTTCTGTATGTCGCTGCGCACTGGCCCCAGGCAGTGCAGGCATACAAAATTGTTGGTAGTAGTACGGTCTCTATCATCAGCAACTTCACTTTCAGTCCTATGTTGCTTCTTCGACATATTATTGGTAATAGGTTTTGTCGGCAGATCTCGCCATTTCCTTTTGTCTAGGATGACTTCCAGGTATCTAGCTTCGTTGGTTCACGGAATCTCTTGTCTGTTGAGGGTGACGTTTTCTTCCGGGTGAACAGTATCGCCTGACTTTTGTCAGGGTTTATACTGATCTTCCTCAGGTTGGCACATTCATCTAATCTATTTGCCTATTGCTGCAAGTATCTAGTGATGTGCGCTTGACTTGTTGGTCTCGCCAGCAGAGCTGTGTCGCGTAGAGCGCCAACTTGTTGAACTTGTTCTCCGGCTTGGGCACGTCTGCTGTGTATACCCATAAAAGGTGTGACGAAAGGAAAGCACCTTGTGGGACTCCTGCTTCCAGTAGTTGCATGGTTAAGAGTTTTCATCCTACTTTGCAGCGGTATGTCCTGTCAGCTAGAAAAGACTCGATTAATATTACCATTTGTTTCGTGTAGCCAAAATTGCTCATTTTGGCCAGAAGTCCGTCATGCCAAACTCTGTTGAAGGCCTTGGAGACGTCTAAGAATATCGCTCCGGTGTTGTATCTTTTGCCGAGGTTAATAGCTTCCATCGTAAAGTCTACTACCCTTAGGACTTGCAGCTCTGTCAAGTGTTCTGATCTGAAACCGAACTGTTCATCTGGTAGGATTCCTTGTTCGCTGGTTTGGTCCTCTAATATTTTCAGGATGACCCGTTCCGCTACTTTACTTAAGGAATGGGTTACGCTGATTGGCCTGTTATTATCTCTAAATAGGTATATGATGACATCTCCTTAAATACTAAAAATTGCATTGGTAGGTAGAGTGAGGTATCAAGGAGCATTTAGGAAATCACTAATACAAATTTCAGTATTTAAGGAGATTACATCATATACCTAGGTTAGTTCATAACCCGCTCAGAAGATGGCATAGTGTGTCGAAACAGCTGTTAGCATTAAATTTTAGTGTTGTGTTAATTGTGAAGGATCATTTTCACTCTACCCATTCGATTGTTCAAGTTCAGGTGTGTTTCCAGAAGTTTTTTTGAATACCAGAAGTTAACAGAATAAGGTAACACTTCTTAACAAAAAAACATAATAGTATTCAAGTAATTCAAAGTTAGATAAAGAGAAAGGTACATGTTCACAAGTGAATTTTAGGAACTATCTCCATCATTAATTAACACAATGCATCAATTAAATTCATCCAAAACAAGTACCACAGGACTGTTGCAATCCTGGTGTTTGGGCACAGTGCTTTTTTGGGATTTATTTCATGCCAGAAGTTCTAGTTCTACCTTTTGAATGAAATTCACATTCTGTAGCTTCTTCAATGGAAAAAATGTATCGATATTACCTCAACAACGAGTCCAAATGTTTGGCACAGTGTTTAATTTCTTCATACAGTATTTCTTCAAGTTGACTGTCAACTGCTTCCAACTGAGATTTGGGTGGTAGATTCAACTTTGCCAGTGCCCTCACTCTGATCGTTTTGAATGCCTCAGATAAAATTTGTAATTTAGTTTTGACACAAATCAAAATCGAAGTGAATGTGGTGTCGTAAGCTGGAATAATATAGAATGGCATAAAAAATTTCACTCCTACTAGCCTAGATTTCTAGGATCACTACAAATTTTTTTAGATTTCATGAGAGCAACTACGTCATTCATCCCTATCATATCAATATACTTTCGTGTACGACATATATTGCCTATTCGACTCAGATAAATGAAAATATCACAAATAAAATAACATTCTCAGTCAATTGGATAATTAGGTTATGGAATGTAATTCATGTTTTTGAGGTGTTCTTATTTTATTTTGTGTATATATGAATTGAAGATTTGAGGATGACAAAAAGCCATCTTTCTGATGCTATCCATGTATAGAATCTTGGAGCTGAGTCTAATGTGGACACATAGATGGAGTCTTTGTGCTAACGAAGCTGGTGCATGCACTTTCTTTTCTTCAACTGACTTCAAGATAGAAATAATATCAGGTATGTTTTTCTAAAAGTTTAAGTGAATCGGTAAATCGACATTTGAATCAGTGAACTTTTGTCAACGTAACACAAATCAATCAATTGGGTGCTCGTGATTCGATTAATCGTCGTAGGCCGATTTTTGTCTGGTTCTGGTTGGCGAAGGTTTCACCGAAAGTTATCGATGTGCTTGAAAATATGGTAGTCGGTTGGTGAGAGGTCTGGGGAGTATGGTGGGTAGGCAGAACTTTGACGCCCAATTCGTTCAATTTTCGGATGATGATTTGTGCAAATGTGCGGACGTACGTTGATATGGAGCAGGATCAGACCTCTTTTGTTGATCAGTGTCCACTGCTGCTGACGCAATTTTCGATGCATTTCGTCGATTTCCTCTGCTGAGATGGTTTGCCCGGTTGAAGAAAGTTATAGTGAATCATACCAGCCGCTTCTGTCGTAGACTTCGTAGAGTATCCACTTTTCATCACACGTGACGATCCGATACAAGAAAGGATCACTTTGGTTGCACAAAAGCAAATAAAAACAGACTCCGAACAGAACGTGACCATTTTCGTCAATCGTTCAAATCGATTACTATTCCAATACGTTTCAAACTATCAAAAACCCCATAGAAACTGACTCATCTGCCATCCCACGCACCATTTGTGACGGGTCAGTTTCCACCAGTGTCCTCAAACCCTCGTTTTGGTTTACTGTAGGAACGAAATTTTGCAAACCAACGCACACCAAATGCTTGGTTGAATTTTCGGGCTGTTTCGGCAACGGATTGGTTCAATTTCAATTCGTAGAGAAAAATTTCGATTGAATATCCGAGTACTGGTTCCCAATTGAAGAACATTTTCACTGGTTCATCTGAAGGACTTCTTCAACTTCAGATTCTTCCCAAAGCAAAGTCTTTGTAAAGCAAAGTGTCAGTAACCTAAGAACTTACCGAAAAGCTTCCGATGTAATCTCCGCGATCAGTTGCATTATTATTTATTGTTAATCGATACACAGGAGTATTTGAACACATTTCTATACAAATTCATATATAGGGTGATTTCCAATAACGACACGAAATCTAAGAGCTTGATTTGTTAGGTCATTTTGAAAAAAAAAACATTAACATATGTCCGGACTTGTCTCGTTTCTGGGATTCCCTTTCTTGATGCATATTTACGCTATACAATGAACCTACCTGCATATTTCAAGATTCTAGGTTCAGTAGCTTTGGCTGTTATTGTTTGAGAAATTGTTATGAAAAATACATTGTTTATGGGTAAATTTAATATTTTTTTTTTCGTAATATACTTATTGATGGAAAGTATGGTCCTCTTATGAATGGGCAGCACTTGTGCGAGCCAAGGATTAACAAGGTTTTACATTCCAACTTGCGATTCCTAGTACTTTCTCTCAGAAAAATTCTGCAGTGGCTAGGCTTTGTACCCACACGACCGGCGGATAGAATGATTGAAAAGCGATGCTTCTAACCACTCGGCTATCTGGTCCCAACTACTTCAACGAAAACATGTTTTCCAGACTGTTTTCAACCAATATTGAGTTTTGAGTTTAGCATTGCAATTGTTGAAGTCCAGTAACAGTAAGTATCAAAGTCCTAGTTAGCCAATACGTAAATAGAAAACAAATTTTTGACAAATTGAAAATTGAATCGTGAATTTCTCATAAAGTGTCAGTTTTAAAGACATTTTTCATCTTATCCAAAATAGTGACATAATATTTTGGGTGTTTCATAAAACAAAGTTTGTCAACATCATGGCTCTGTATAAAATCTCCTGTTTGATAAATGTAACTTTTAGTCCATACCAACATCTTAACTCACTCTTGATGTTGCATGAGCAAATTAAGTTGATACTTCCATATGCTATAATCTTAATCATTTTTGGAAAGTACCTTCAGCATTAGAGATGTTTCATTATTTGCTTCAAGAATGAATTTGTTGATCTGTTCGCTGTTGAAAGTTTCTAATTTCACCACTCCATGACAAACATTCTTCCTTAAAAAAATGTGATACCCTCTGGGAAGGTGGCTATGTTTATATTCTTCTTTACTAAAATGGCACTCTTCGACAAAGAGTACCTACAAATTCCAAAGGATTTGATTGTTTCAGATTCATGCGCCAAATGAAGTAAAATAACATTCCTTTGTGATAGGTTGGCATTCCTTCATATCCATCTATTTCGACAATAAATCATAAAAGTTTTCGTACTTGGACGTACTCGATGTTACGGGCAATAATCGTTGTACTGTAGCAGCAGGTGGTACATTGGAAATTTTGTAAGGCACATTTTCAAACTCAAAAACTATGCAAACTTTCGAAAATCAATATGTTAACTAATTTCATGTCAATAACCTGTCCGTCGTAATTTCACTGATATGGTAATGATCAACTGCATTTACCAAAACCATACTCACCAAGATTTTCATATTTACAATGGAAGCAACGATGTGATTCTTCCCGGCCTATTTCGAGAAGTACTTACTTCCCGAACTAGGCCAAAAAAATGTAACTTTCTCAATGAAAAAGCATCTGGGAAGTGGGTACTTTCCGAATGGTTGCCGAAAAATAATATTTCTGATTTCAAAACGCAACTTCCGCATAATTCTGAAACTAATATGAGAGGTGGAATACTCACAAGCCAGAAAAGATCCAAGAATACAGGAACCCGCATCCATGAAAACCAGCGCATATTTACAACTGGCTACTGTAGGTGTTGGAAAAGGAATCACAAAAGAGTATGGTAGGAAATCGTGGCAAGTTATGTTTCCTTGAAAATATATTTTCTCCGATTCTTTGTTCAATTTAACAAGTACTGAAGTACTGGCTGTGACTACTACAACATAGTAAACACTGAATGTGGTGATAACAATTCTTCTACAGAAAGACTTCGAGTCGTTGAACATTTTTCCAGGTTGGAAAGATCCACATGATTGGTAATGATACTGTTCATCCAAGAGTTTTTCTCTGACTGTTTGAATTTTTTGCTGATTCATCCTTAGTACAGCGTACTTCGCAAAAGCTTCAGTTAGGGTCAGAAGCATTCCGATGTACCTTCAAATGATTTTTTTTTCAGTAACATATATACGAACATATATATTCACACGAAAATCATAATTTTTCTGATAAAATCTAAGGTCTTAGTGCTTTCCGATTACTTACATTCCTTTTTTGTCTGTAGACTTGCTCGATAGTATGTTCTGGTTTGATTCATCATTCATTTATTATTGTGGTTTTATTTATGTAAAATTGATATTACATGTTCTCTCACAATTCAAAATGATGTTCATTTGTTGATTTGCTTGAATCATGAATCATATTATAAGACCATCTTATACAGATTTACCTGCACATAATTATTTATTGTTTTCCGAGTGAATATTAGGTGACACTGCTCGCTGACTGAGTAATTGAGCAAGACTAAGGATACATCCACACTAATAACGGGGCCGAATGGAGGAAAGCGACCGAATAAATGGAAGAACTCAGGCTGGACTTCCATACGTTTTCAATTAAAAAGGAGATCCCACTTCAGCTGGTAATTCGGGGGAACCGGAGAACGTTGAATAAAAGTATGTAGCCGTAGACCTACGAGGTACTGGAATTTCACAGGATGACATTCAGACGAACAAGGTTCGTCTGACGGTACCAAAAAGGTTGAGGTGCCAAAAAGCCACGAAAAAATATACGCCCTAAGAACATTCGTAAACTTGATTGTGCGGGCGGAGCCGCAAAAAATCAACAAAAGAATCATATCACAACGCCACCGATGCCAGTTCTTCGAGAACGCGCAGAGGTGCTGCCACATAACAGCGCGCTGCGTAAAGTGCGGCGGAAACCACGACACCAGAGAGTGTCAAAAGACAATGGAAACTCCGGCAAAATGCGCAAACTGTCTGGAGGCGTACTCGGCAAGCTATAGGGGATGCAAGATGCTCCCCAAGCCCAGAACTACAGAATCACCAGGAAATAGGCCTCGACAAGCGAAGAGTCAGAGGCCTAGACAACAACCAGCAGCGAGAAAACCACCACCCAATGTGCAGACAGCCGGAGGAAATAGCAACGACATAATAAACGTTCTAGGAAAACTGACGACAGAACAGCAGAAAATCGCGCAAGTGGTATTAGCTGCATTACTACAAGCACCTGGACAACGTTTACGCCTGCTCGCCTGCTGCATCCCAGGATACACAACATACAGGATAGATGAGCCAGTGGGCGCCACGCCACAGAGGGCGCGGCAGTACTAGTAAGAACAGAACTAGTCTAACATGAAGACAAAAAGCCGGAACTACTATTCGGAGAGGCAGTAGCAGTCAGAGTTAAACTAAAACGCTGAGAACAGCTGAGAATTTCGTCGGTATACCTGCCTTCGCAAGGAATACTAGAGAGAACCGACATATCAGAAATATTCCCAGATTATCATTCAACGCGAAGTCACGCGACTGGAACTGACGAAACGGAAACCAAAGAGATAGAGAACTAGCCAGGTAGCTGGAAGAATTCGAGGATCAAGTGTCAGACATACTAGACATCGCCATAGTGCAAAACATCCCTACATCGGAGATAGAAATACTAGACGAAGGTTCGTCAGACCACAACCCTGTCCTACTCACAATAGAAAAAGGCGAAGAGAAACCAGATAATCCGACAAAGAGAATCAGCGACTGGTGCAGAACTGATCTGAAGAACGCCGCAACGCAGATACAACAGTCTGAAATTTGAAGTCAAACATGAAGCTCGTATTTTACTCTGACGGAAAGATTCATTCACTGATAGTAAGCAATATGAATACAACTGAAGCATTATTTGTCCTATGCATAACTTGTATGTTTGGGAAAAATTATCTTTTATTACATATATAATGGAATTGGCCGATACTTCATGAAACTCCATAACTAACGTATTCAAAAAACACTTCATTGTGAGATTTTCACTTAACCGTTTTTCAAAAACGCAACACGTGTTTTGCCATACAATGGCTTCTTCGGGCGTGTCTTTAATAACTATATTCTACATATTTAAAGCTTAATATACCTAATTTTACAATTTGGAGTACCTACATTTCAAGTACCTGAGTTTGTAATGAATAAAATTACCTGAGCTTATGTCCCAGTTTCCACATTTAGAAAAATATTTAGTAACGGGGACTTATTCAATTCTAATCGATCATTCAGTAAATTATCCGAATTCTTGAATCTATTGATTTCTAAGAAGCCATATTATGGTGAAACACGTGTTGCGTTTTTGTAAAACTGTTCAGTGAAAATCCCACAATAAAGTGACTTCTTTTGAAACACTAATAAATTGGAATTGAGAAAATAAAAATTTCATTCAGAAGATATTTGTGATGCACTCTTTGGAACCTTTGGTGTAGTTATGGAAGTTACTGGAGATTTTTCCCAACATCAAACCGTTATTTAAACACCTCGACACGTGTTTCGATTACCAAGATTATCTTCAAGAGTAAGAAGTTTGATCTTCCTCTTGATGATGATCACTTGGTGATCGAAACACGTCTTGAGTTGTTAAAATAACGGTATGGTGTTGGAAAAAAACTCCAGTATCATACAGCAGATAATGTTTGACTCCTGAATCCCAAGTTGAATGAAACTCAAGTTATTACCTGAAAAATTGTTTTGTTTCCTTCAATGCTTGTTTCACCATTAAAATGTCACAGATATAATACAGTAAAGCGATGAACAGAAGTAACACATCCCATACAATAAGAGTCCATCTTTTTAATCTACTAATACTTCCACTTGGGAGCCATATTCCAGAAAATATTGTTAATGTTTCCGCCATCCAGAAAAATGATCGATTATTGCACATTTCGCTTCTACTTTCAGAGAATGCAAATATTGTTTTGGCGAATTCTCTATATATAGGTGCACTTTTGATGTATTGATCGGTTTTAAAAAGAGTGAAAACATTACAATTTCAGTACAAGTCTATTAAGTAATTTTGATAATTGTTATTGTCTCTGTGTGAAACTGAACATTTGGTAAAACATTTAATTACTAGCAAATTTTAATTTAACGATTTCTTGAACTGTATTTCAATTCACAATTTACCTACTCCATTATCCTTTTGTAAAACATGTGAGTTCCATGATGTGTTCAATTTACCGATATTTCATTCAAAAATTGTTATATGAGTCCAATACTGTGTTAGATATCGATTAATAAAATTAATAGCTGAGATAGCGAATGTTTGACATTATTTTTTAAATTGAATTAACTTTCTCGTTTACAAATCGAATCGATTGAAGCAGACTTTGATTAACGTATTCAAAAAACACTTTATTGTGAGATTTTCACTAAACAATTTGATGACTTCCTCGGGCCAGTCTTTACCAGTAAAGACATTGTGTGGTGAAATACGTGTTGCGTTTTTGTAAAATTGTTTTAGTGAAAATCCAACAATAAAGTGTTTTTTAAATACGTTAGTTATGGATTCTCATCAAGTATCGGCCAATTCTAGCATATAACAAACTTTGATTGTTAAGTGAAGCTTATCACAATACAATATTGAAAATCGCACTCAATTCAGTTAAGCCGTTCTTGAGATTAGGACGCCCCGACAAACAGATACACCAAACTTGCTCCAATGTGTATGAGACTAATAGAAGTTGAATTGAAGAACAATCGGCTTCTGAACGAATACAAGGAATTTTCAATAAGGAGACCAAAAATGCATAAACTATCATTTTGCCGTAAATAGCTAAAACATTTTAGTGGTACCATCGATTTTCAATGAGTTATAACTAGGGATATATTTCCGGTTTCCCGGTTGTTGCGACTATCTGATCGTCATGGGTATTGACGTACAGACGGTCCGTTTGAAGTGAAAGCATTTCCGTTGATGTCACAGATGAATCTTTTTTATCAAACCTTTCAATGTTATTCAGTTACGAACTCAACAGAAGTGACACAGATTGCCAATATAACTCAGCAGAGATGTGCATTTATATTTTCAAGGACTAAATATTAGATGGTAGGTTACTTATTCCTCGTATTTGTATTCCACAGGGATCTCAGAGAACACTTGTACCACCAATAAAATTACAAACAAGAACTGATTGATGGTAAGTGATTAAATGACATCTGAATGAAATTGAATATACAGACCATATTATTTTCAGGGTACCGAAACCTAGAATTTAATGAATCTCATGGAAGTACTATTTCAAAAATGGACATTTATTCTTTTTCTCAATATTTTGTTGTATCAATGAATGAGCAATAAATAAATAACATCTAGATTGTATATGTAATTTAACGAATATCATAAAAAGTAAACTGACACGTAACAATCTAGGTTAGGTTAGGTCATAACTTTACCTAGATCTAAAACAATCTAACAATGGAATCAAATTTGAAATAGAAAATCCGCCAGAAACTATTGATTTCACTTTCGTTTTCGGTTTTTGTGAGCCTTCTATGAATATCAAAAAATGTTACTGAGCTTTCACTTTAGATGGCACTCTCGTTGAATTATTATATTTGGAATAAGATAATTCGGATTTCCTGAACCATACTCCACATTTTCTGAATAAGAGACGAATGCCCATCCGGAATTGTTCGATGTATCGCATAATATCACTTGAAAAATATCTATGGTTAATTCTCCCATCCTTGTTGAGTAATAAAATATTTCATCCAATTGACCTATGAAATGATCAAGAGCACTAGCAAAATAATCTAATCGATCGAAAAGTGGTGCTAATGAAAATGTCAAGTGACTAATACACCACGATTACAGATATCAAACCTTCCATAAATTCTGCCGCAATGATCCAGAACGAAGATAAATATTCTGTGACAGATTTCAATGAAAAATACATGACATGGATATTTTGTCATTTGTCATTGACATCATTTGGAGTGATGAAACCATATTCAAAAATTATATTCATATATTAGCCTGAAAGGATCAGTGCTGTAGGTGCAGTTAGTATATTCCACAGCCATGGAGGCCTCTTTCTGAAATGAAACACAAAAACCTTGTTCCCCAGCCATTTGTGCTGCTTTCTTTTTTGAAAAAGGT